AATAATTATAATAATTACAATTACCTTCTAATTTATTATCTCTTGGAGCAAAAAACTGCAACGAACAACAAAGAGAAACGGGAGTCCAATATGTCCGCAAATAATAATTCAAACAAGTTCATAAGTTAAGTAAAACAAATATACCCAAAAAACAGTGAAATTAATGATTATATATATAAAGGTTTGATCAGCAAAATGTCTTCGTTTCTCCCGTAACACTTAGTAACGAGTTGTATCATCAAGGCTATACTAAAAACGGTGGTACCCTGCACTTCCAGCTTACTCAAAATCTTGGTCACCACAAACTGTTGATCTGAAACTTTTTCAACCATTTTTTCTTACATCTTTCGTGGTTCCTACAAATGTTTTATTGATGCAGATATGATTCATTTGGCTCTGTGTCGTGGGATCAGTTGAAATCCAAGCAGTTTTGTGTAGGCTTTCGTGCCCGAAATCATCATCTTAATGAAGGCTTATAGACTTGCTAAGAAAGTAGTATGTCGAACCATAATATATCAAAAGTGTTGTGTGAAAAACTTTAGTTGGGTGTTCCCTCTGAAATTACCACCAGAGTTCATTCATTTTGGCAAATGTTCTGCACAGTAGAGAACAGTGGTATTTAGTCCATAGTGTGTATGACTGGATGAGATGTCGGGCCCAAAGTTCCCCCTTGATGAAGAGCGGCCTAAAAGGCTTAGAAACAATCTAAAATAACTAAATAACATTTCTCAATTGATGGCATATTACAAGAGGAATGCCAGTTCACAGGCTAAATCATATGGTGTGTGTAGAATTTATTTGATGGCAAGAAGGTTACCTAATAGATCAAGCGAATAATGTTCGTACACAATCAGTACAAATAAACAACGGATTTCGAATTTAGTTGAGATTAAATGAAAAGATTACAAAAATCAAAAATGATGATTTTTATGATTATTAATCGTTTGTCACAATAAGTTTTACTTATAAGATGCACCACCAGGTTGTATTATTTCGTTTTCAGAGGAACCTGAATAGTTCTCTCGATCTTCCATATTGTGTGAACATCCCATGTAACTTTATTAATTGTTGCTCCGATAGTCTGAAAGGGCATCGGCCTCGTGACTTCCGAGGGAAAGGCTATCACCCTGACTCCTCCAAACTTTTCCGAATGAAGACCTACAAACCCTCAGAGCAGAGTTCAAATGTGTTACACTTTTACCCATGTAAGAGTTTTTTAGCAACGTTGTTTGGGGTACTAACATCACTATCAACTCTACACCTTTATGTAGGCTTGGGAATGGTATTAACTTCAGGAGGGATGCAAGCAGAGTCACTATTTTCCCTAAAAAATTCTGAATTCACGACTCCATAAGCATGCTTTTGATGAGTTTATTTGATTGTATTCTAGAATTTTAAGCGCAGCTCTAACGCGTTGTTATTGTGATGTCAAATCCACACTTGTAAATGATTTATTCATCCTTGTCCATAACTCTTTGAACTGTTTGTGCCGCGTTCCAATGGCAGTATGGCTTGCACGTAAACTAGAGTAGCTCAAAGATTGTAATCTTACTGGTACTCCGAATATATTTTGATACTCCGGGAGACTTACAATCATTTTTTTCGAGGCCCATAAGGTTTTTATCTGGATGATATAATCAAGAAGATGAATATGCATTTACCTCCTCATTCCTTGGACATAAGTAGGTGCAATTCTTTACCATCAATCATCCATCACAACGCGACCGGCATTTTACGTAACAACTGTTGTATTTTACATCTCCGCCTCTTAGACATTATTCACAACTGAATGTGGAAAATATCAAACCTTTCTTGTAATGATCAGTTTTTTGAGTAAAATATCAATCTAGATGAGCAGCTTATAAAATCGAATGTGTTAGAACTTACAAAAAATTGATCATGTCGGTTAACTGGCATCCCTCATATGACACATTGTTATTTGTGAACAAATATTAACATGATCATTGTTAATATTATTATTGCTGTGATATTGTGATACGCTCTGGCCAAATCAATTTTATTAAATATGTTCATATTCTGCAATCCGTTTGTAAAATCCTACATTTGAGTTATTGGATGAGGGCTTTTTACTCCTCACACGGTCTCCAGTTGCCTTCGTTGGGCGTAAATAGGATGTCTATTTCTCATCAGAAAGACGAATAATGCTCAATGTAGCAAGTATTCCAATTCGCCTCTAACCATTTTAAGCTTAACGAGTTCTAGTCATCTGAGCCTAGCGAACACAGATGAGTCTTCAGCTAACCTTTGGGAGTTTGGGGGGTTCGATTCGGTAAGGTTTGGAAATAGCGCGAGTATTTCCTAGGACTTTGCAGTTATTGATAAAGTTTGAATCAGATTTAGAAAACCAATGAGGCACTCCGCTCCTTTTGAGCAATAATAAGATTAGGTGTGAAATGCCTTTTTCAAGTGTCGAGGGGAAATTCATATCTATCCGAAAAGATTATCCTCGAAATTGTCAAATTTCAATTCGCCAAAGCGAACTTCTAGAGGAATCACCTTTTAATTATCATATCTAACATTACTATCTTCAGCCCAAACTTTACAACTGTAGTTCTGTTAGCAGCTTAAAGTGTGCCTGGCGTTATTTACTAACTTAGGTTAGTTTTATTCTAAGCGATACTCAGTGAAGCACCTGTAGCCAAAGAGTTCAGATAAACATAAACAGCTCAATCAAGTGACTAGACTGCCATCTACCGTAAAAAAACGAAATACCTGAGATCGTAAAATGTCAAGAAACAAGAGCAAAAAGATCAAGTAGTTTATCCAAGGTCGTAAAAATATTTCGTAGATTTTATATTGGTTTACGAGATATTAAAATGTATTTCCAAGTTCGTTACCACATTTCCTGCAGATGTGAAAATCCAACAGAGTTCAATATTTCAACTTCTTTGAAAAATTCAGTGTTTAACTTTTAACCTTCCGGAGCAGTATAAAAATCAAGCTTGTTTTACTGATGTTGATAATTTGCGCAATCCTTGAGACCTTACTCTGTTAACGAGTTACTCTCTTCGATATAGTATAGGGAGGCTTAAAGTCATTGTCACGCAAGCCGATAAAAGTTTCTAAAATCAGCAAAACGTGAGTATTTTTTAAATCTTAACTTTATTTTTTATGCAATCCAAATCTTATATGAAATGTTTCGCTTATAACCCATCACTCATTCAATAATTTCTCATCCCAATTATTAAGTTTCCTCTCGTCATACAGTTTAAAGTGAGAAATTCATTTTGTATGATTTTTAACCGTCACAGTAATACAATCACAACATGTTTTGAAAAATACAGAGTTTTTGAATGCATGCTAATTAGGGTTCTAACAGGTAATTCCCCAAACGTCAGAAGCCGTTAAAACTTTTGAGCATTAGCCAAATAATTAGAAATTTATCAGCGTCTCATTTAAAAAATGTATTTCGGATTCGGCGAGCATTTGATCCTGTAAAGGAACAAACTTAATATAAATCCAACCTTTAGTATATTCCCGCATTGTTGTAAAGAATCAGTATCATAACTGCCAATAAACGTATCTTTATTAAATCTGCATGGCTTGGACGCTTATTTATGAAAATCAGTTTGTAACTACCCGTAACTGAATGTTTATAAAATTCCTTTTCCCACTAAGTTGTTTTCCTGTTCACAGCTGATTTGCGGTTAGACAGGTCGTTTGGTAATCTTATTTATTAGTACACATGAGGTATGCTTTCAAAATTCAAACATACAAAAGAAAGTTTCCTTTTGTTTGGTCGCCTCACTTTCTGAGTGAACAATGCAAATATTTATAGTTTTTACATATATTAAGTTGTTACATATCAAACATAGTCGTACATTATTCTGCTTATGTTTATAAGAAAGTCGTGTTTCGTCCTGCCGTTTTAGTCCGTAAGGTGCTGTGGTCGTATCGGCAAAATGTAATTTTCTTCTGATAGTATCCAGGATCTTAAATTGTGACATATGCTACCAATTGTTTCATCAGAGTCAGCGATTTTAAAAAAACGATTTAACTTTTGGTTATTAAATCAGTTCTTGTTGCATTGATAATTGTCTGCTTAACAGTAGAATTTCATAGAATTGTGTTGTTATATTTTTGTTTGGGTCAGAAAAATTAAAAGGCAGCCTTATATGCTAAGCCATACTCTATTCCAGCATGTGTAGCATCTTTAAAAGGAATTCTAAATTGCAGCTCTACCTAAAAACAATTCCAACCATAATTAAGCTCTGAATAAACTCAATATCAATGAGATGAATGTCTACTATGTACACCTGCTATTCTCATATAAGAAAGTAATCTCTAATGCGTCCAGTAAAGTATTTTCACAATTAGTGGTAGAATTCCTATTTTGTGAGTGTTAAGTCACTATTGATAGGATCATTGAGTAAGCGGTCTTTCATTTTTGTCCTCTAGATTCTGAGTTTCTAGATTCCTCATAATTTTATGAAGTCTGTTTCACTAACATATATTTTCCTTTTTCCAATCTTCGATCCCTAATCTTTTCTATTTCTACTGATACTGTTACCAAACCTACTTCACTTGGATTTGGCTTGACGACTTCTCTTTGTGCTAATTGGGTATAGCAACAAACTAGTGGGCGTATACATCAAGCTTTGCGTCGCAAATAAGTGACTGAGTGATTCTGGGTTCACTTTACCGTTGTGGTTGACGATGGAAGAAATTCTGCAAGGTACTATACAGCGATAGACCGTATATTTGTACACAATTTAAGTAATAAACTACAAATTAGTCTGTAGTGAATAGCTTTTTCATGACTATTCAAATATCATCTGAATTATTATCTTTCTTTTTGTTTCCGACTGTTCGTCTTAATATTTCTTTTGAGTTTTTAATACTGTTAGTAACATTTTCAATGGTTTTCTCTGTTAGTTCATTGAAGAGCATTCCAAAGCTAAATTTAGTGTTAAAAATCCCACTGATGAATACCTGTTTATAGCCTTCAGCAAACTTTCACTGACTATATTACGATAAATATGCACTATAAAAGTGGAACTCACTCAATTTTGTATGTAAAATTTTATTTAGGCTCATTAGATTCCAGAAGTATACTGTTTGTTGGTAGCGAATCGATGTGTTCTCCTAATATCAACAGAACCTACTGGACGCATCTGGACAAGTCATCAACAACCCGACAAGAAGCACAGTTGGTTGTTACTGATACGGTACGTCAATTTTTTTAATCCTATCAGTTAAAATATAATTAACTCTCTGCTGCTAATACGTCAAGAACGTATATTAAACAAATTCTGTTACCAACTACACTATTTTTTTCCAACGTATGGACACGTAGATAACTTCATCATTTGATTTAGTTCTTATTTAGTACTAGTGTCCACCTTCAATCAACTTTCTTGTTACATAAAACCCCCTATGACCTTAGTTTAGTACAGGTTTAGATCATGTCTACGTATTTGTTTACTGATCACCTTTCAGAATTATCTAACCCTAAATTCTGTGAGCATTCAGGTCGTGTATGTAACTTGTTTATAATGCTCGTATGAACATTTCTATATTAGTATGCCAAGTACATGCAAAGTCTCAAAATCTCTTAAACGATGTTCTTCTTGTAAAGTGGTTAACTAACTCAAAAATTTTTAGATTTCTTCCCAAAATTACCAATTTCATGCCCTTGAATATCATTCCATGTCCATAAGTTTTGTTATTCACCCTTAGGATTTAGGAGTGATTTCGGCTTTCGAAATACATTTTCACTTTTCCTCGATTCAAAAGATTACTACCGGTTATGGCTTTGCTGAAATAAATCAGTAACTATAGTTTTTTTAAAACTCCTTAATTTAAAAACTATTCATTTTATTTGCCTTTGAACTTTTTTTTATTTCAGAAGGCCCAAAAGGATATATTTTCGCTAGATTATCGACCTACTTTGCAGGAGTATAAAACACGCCCAACCCGCTATTTGAAAACCTATTGCAATAAAAAGAACTCTACATACAAACAAAGTGAGAATACTACAGGTTCTAGTAACGGTCTATTGCCAACTGGTGACATTTTAAATAATAAATCTGGTCGCGTAAGCCAGTTAGCTAATCGGGTCGAGCACCTTTTGATTCAGGTTTGTTGAATTTCAAATTCAATATTGATGTTTATTTCATGAAATGTATAGATGTGACAAGGTCGTTACTTCATTTTATTAGTGAAAATGTAACCACCTTATTCGTGATTATTTCCAACTAAAGTTGTCTTTTCTTTGTTAATATAATATTAAATTTCTTTCGACGTCAACAACTAGAATCTTAGGCATTTTATTGCTTTTTTCATTCTTTAGGATTCTACTAATACCTTGGATCGTTACGGAAAATTATCGTCAGTTCCTGACTCTGAAAAACAGGACTCCTTGGAAAGTTGTTTGCTGTCCAGCACCAAAAGGAAACAAAATAATTTAATATCAAGTTCAATTACAACAACAATATCATCTCCCTGGTATCGTCATTGTAGACCGAAAGCTCCTCCTCCAGTTTTTCCTCTATCTTCTGAAAACTATGCCATGAAGTGCTGTCAAAATGAAGGTCGTGATTTCAATTTTAATGAAGGCGGAAGCAAAAGTAGTGATGATCATCTAGAATTTGAATGCGAAAACCTGTTTACACCTCTACCGTGTTTAATTTCTACAGGATTTTCGTGTTCAGTACGCTGTCCAAGCATACAACACCTAGAGACAGATCTTAGTCAAGAAAACATAAACTGGGATTCAGATTATCCGCAACCTCCTCCTTTCTTATCTCCCGATGATGTCGAATCGACACCAATGAATCATTCTTACTCCTTCTCCTTTCCTCCTAATTCCATTATTGATGAAGAATCCAGTACGTTTTCCGCAGCAGTACCATATTCAGAAGAAGTCACTTTAAAACCTTTGGCTCCCATAACAAATATTTTACCGAATGGTGGTGCTTTCATCCGTAAGTTCATCCAAATTTTTTTTTATCTTTAATGGTTTCCATTAAACCTTGTTTTCGTTTGATGAAATTTGACTAATGAGAGTACCTGATTATTGTTTTCTGAAATTAGAGTTTGAAAATATGAGATTAACACGCATTTTTCGACTGCTTGAAAATATATTTTGTTTAGTGGAGTAACGTAGTCAAAGTTACCTTCAGTAGATGAATTTATTTCTCATATGACTGATTAACTGTCTATTTTTTTGAAATAGGACCTCAGTATCTTTATTTTGGAAATTCTTCAGTAGATTCTGATTGATTGATGTCTTAATAAATAATTTCTTGGAATTATGCCAAATGAATACTTTTGTTGCTCCTAATAATACTGAATCGTCATTTCCCAGGTTGTTTTGTTTTCCATCGCTGAATTCAACTAATGTTTCGCTCATAAACACGGACTACTTATTACCAACTTACTGCATAGTTGAAGCATTTCATGACAACAATTATCATAGTGAATCAATAGTCATCATGGCCATCGTTTTCTATTTCATCAGTCTGACTTGATGAGGAGGTAGTGATAGATAAGCTAATTAACATTTTTCCCTAGTGAATGGTTATTCAACACAGTCACGTTTTAATCTCCTCAACATGTTTACTAAGCTATCACTAACTATAGAACACTAAGAATAGCTACATATTAATCTGTGAAATATTTACACGAGTATTATCTAAAAGCATTGTACATTAGATTCCTTATTATAATCATTGTTACGGTCTTTCATTTTGTCTTGTATGTTTGGTTATCCTCATGATATGTAGAGTTGTGATACGTCGGTCAGTTTCTAGAGTCAGCTACTTATTTACTAGGCATGAGCAGTTAAAAACTCATTTCATCCCAAAATTCAAATATAATCCGACCTTATGTAAAAGATGTTATTTTTGTAGCCTGGTATGTTGTAAAAGTTGTGCACATATTCAGAGTTATCATTGACATTTATATTCAAGGTTTCTACAAGATTGTCTCAACGTGGATGGTATATTTTACTGCAGTTACATGAACTTGACACACTTGAATCATTAAAATGATTGTGTCATTTGAATGTTTCTCTCCTTTTTCCATAAATAAACTATCACATTGTAAGAACTTGTGTAATATGTGTAATCATCTGTCAATGATCTATTTGAATTGTGTGGTCTATGCAATTTTTGACAAAAACTAACACATTTTTCTCTCATCTTTCTATAGTTAGTTGGCTTCAGTTGAATTTGAATTTTTTTTTTTATCGCATTGATAAATTGTAGTCATTTATTGAATTACTTATTCTAAAATAGAAAGTTCGATTCATGAAATAAATTATCAGAATTTTGATGACATTGTAATAAATGAAATGTTTAAACAAATCTAATAGTGTAAGAATTCATCTCATCATATTAGTATAGATCAATTATAACTGAATAACTTTTTGGCACTCTACAACTAATTCATAATGCAATGTGTTATGTGTGTTCTATGCACTAATTAATAGAACTCATCACTTTGGTAATCATAATAATAATAATAATAATAATAATAATAATAATAATAAGGCTACAATATTAGTTGTATATTCATGGACCAAAGTCATTTAGTAAATGTAAATTACTACTCAATAAAATAACCTAATTATAAATCATAATGAAGTGAAACTACGTAAGGTTGAGTTATTCCTTTTAGCATTTATATAATATTCACTTGTGTAAATTATATCATAATAGAATATGAGTTTAAGAGTGGTTGTAGTAGTAGTCGTAGTTTGTTAAACTAATGTCGAATAAACTTATGAAACTTGCAACGATCGAAAGTTCACATAAATTATTGGTTTGTCCAATTGTATGCATGTATATTTTGTTATTCATATTTTATAGAACTGATCATCAAACTATAAAGATTATTGTATTTGGCATTCATATATATTTTATCCTTTGTCCAATTTAGGGCAGTAATCCACAATGACCTCTATATTATTTATTTCAGACCAGTCTAAACATTTTGGGTGACTAATACACCTTCCTTCATATTTTCTCTATGTATAATTTTTTTTTTAAAACCCCCTTTTATTAATATTCATCCTCTTCACATAGTAAATATCTAGTTTAGCTTGTGGATATCACACTCTCCTACCTTTACTAACATTTGTCATCCTCATGCCTGGCGTTCGGTCTCTTTTAATTCAAACATATGGCTGACATGTTGGCTCGTGTGCCAAAAACAGGTCATGTTTTTTCTATATCACATGCAAGTTCAAATGTCTTTGTCATTCTATTAAGGCTTTCATACATTCACTCTGTTCTCATGTTCAAACTTGTCAAATGATGTACAGAGAAAATGTCGTTTAAAATACAACTAATGTATGCATTAAATCCGAAGCAAATTGAAAGCAGGCAAAAAATATGGGTATAATATATCCACTGGGAATAAATACGTTGATTGTGGCGGTATTTCGTTCTCTGAGCTAGATGTTTTGGTTGTAAAGCTTTCATTGTTCTTCTGAACAACATCATCAGCACAAACTTCAGATAGAAGTAAATTATCCCAATTCATCCATGTTTGACCGGTAGCTTGTTCTGTTAACCTTGATCTGGATTGATTGTTATTGACCTTAAACCTGTTGTTGTTTGCACCTTTGTTTTGATTGTATCCCCTTTTTTGATCTGTTTCTTGATCCTATGTTGCCTATGATTTTTCTGATTGCTTCATAAACTGGGTTATTGTCGATGTGTTTGTTGACTGTTGATTGACCTGAGTGGCAAGCTTCTAAAAATTCTCTTGTGTTCTCTTTGTTCTCTTCCTATCCAATATTTCCACATAGTTCCAATCGAGCGTTAGTCCACAGCTGTCCGTATGTGTTGATAGAAGCGTTGAATTGACTCATGTGACTAAGTCTATTCTTTATGAAATAAATAATCTGAAAGTTGCGTCGTATATAATATGTGATGTTTGTTTATTTCAAGTATATATTCAATATATTCAATATATATTCAATATATTCAATTACTGATTGTATTCTTGAAATTGCTTGATTTACTTCTTGTTTGTTCTGATTTATTCCTAATTTCTATCTGTTTTTTTTTGTGTATTGACCACCAGGTCGTCATCCTAAATGGGCAATGAATTGTAATTCAAACATTCTGAGGTTGCATCCGACTGTTCGTTTCTCTGATTCGAACTTAACAATCGATTCTGATTTCCATTTATCATCATCATCATCATCGTCACCTTCTGCACCATCACCTCCTCCACCTTTAATTGTACAACGTTTACCATGTGAATTGGCTGATAATTTGTCAGAACCACAAGAACAACAACATTCGATTTGTTCACCTACATTAAATAAACCTAATCTAACACGTCCGATAGTTTTAAAACGTGGAGCACCCGACAGTAGTGTAGAACAAATCTCTAATGATATCATTGGTTTAGATGTTAAAAAAGACTGTGATCCACCATTAAAAATGAAACGGTAAGCCAAACATTACGAATAATTGTTATAATAATAGCTAATCTATCTTCGCTCCATTCTCCTATATGGATGCGAAACATGGCCGTTAAGAGTAGATGTTTGTAGGTTACTAGTATTCGATCATAGCTGTATCCGAAGCATTGCTCGTATATCGTGGGACAACCGAGTAAGCAATGCTGTCGTTAGGAAACGAGTACTAGGTAAGGGTGGCAAATCAATAGATGAAGTAATGAAACTTCATCAGTTGAGGTGGTTGGGACATGTGTTACGTATGCCTAACCACCGACTGCCTCAACGAGCTATGTTTTGTGGTGTAGGAGTAGGTTGGAAGAAAGCTAGGGGCGGCCAAATCAAAACACGACAGAAATCCATGAAGTCACTGACAAGTGGACTGAGTCATGTTGGTAGATGTAGACTACCTGGTTGAGCTCCGCGAGATGATAATAATCGATGGTTAGATACCTTGAATGACATGGCTCAAAATCGTTTTCATTGGCGCAAGTGCATCCATTCGTTGGGCTCTCTCAAATTCTAATCTTCTGGATTCGTCAGCACCTCTACCTTTGTCTTCCTAACCTTATCTCACTGAACCTTATCTCTCTTGAATAATATCTTCAAACCATAGTCTTCTTCATTACCATTAATACCTCTACTATCTTTATCACTATGGGATTTGATTTGATATTTGCATCTCTGTGCTAATGTGGTATGGCAACCTGAACTTATGTACATACGTACGAAGTTCTACGTTGCAACTGACTAACTGACTGATACATCTATCTACCGAAGAATTTGTTGAGAATGTACCATCAAGAATTGTAGGAAAAAAAAATTAATAGAATAGTTTATTATGCTTTCTACTTTTTGTGATAATTTTAATCATAATCTATTGTTGTTGTTGTTGTTTTTTCTTTATCTACTATCAGAAATCTTTACTGGGATCTAACCATGGAAGATTATTCACCGAAAAAAAGTCGTATACAATTATTAGTACCAAGTGAATGTAGTGCATTTCTTCCAGTTAGATCAACTCGTCAATTGGATTCTAAACAACATCTAAATAATATTTCATCACCGTCTTTACGATAATTACCTCAAATGATATAAAGATGATAATCAGTGCTCAAATTACACATTTGTATATTAATAATAATAATAATAATAATAAATGCTCAGTCTTTCATATATATATATATATACATATATAATCTTGATTGTACAGTTTAACAGACTATTGATTATATTTGGTTGTTTTCGTCATTTTGTTAGTGGTTTTTTATTATGATTATTTTTATTTTGGCATATACATACATACATACTTGTTATTGACTTTAATTCCTTTATTCTCTCTCTCTCTCTTTCAGTAGTACTTCTTTCTATCTGTCTGTTTTTTTGGTGATTTGTCGTTTCATTCATTCATTAGCTTTCCCTACTACTTTTTAATATTCTTCAATAAAATTATCACGACTTTAGTCGTCGTTGTGTTGTTGTTGTTGTTGTTGTGACTATTTGTTATTTTGTCTCCCTTTTTGTATTCTTCATCATGATTAATTTTTTCCGTAAAATAACAAAACGAAACAAAGAAAGTCAAACGAAGAACACCTTGAATCCGTGTTCTTTGTGTGTATATTCTCCCCTTTTTGTTTTTGCGTGTATATGATTTTGATTTGTTTGTTCTGTTTGTTCTGTTTTTACTTGTTGTTGTTATTCTTCCTAACATTTTGTTTACTGTATTTTTTCATTTTATTTTTCGGTAATATATATTTTGTAGTACTTTATTATGATTTTATTGTCTTTTCTTTTTTGGACATTGTAGTAAATAAAGTTTGTTTATAATATTATGTATATATATATACATACATATATACATGTCTGTATTGTGTTGTATGAAGAACACATTCCTGTTGATAACATTACAATTATTTATATGCTGCTTTGAATTTTGTCTGACAGTTGTTTTTTTTTTTAATTTTATATGTTCATTCTTTTAACAATACTACAAACTGTTGGACAATGGCAAAATACAAATGTTCTTATGTAAGATAGTTGTTTTCTAATTATTTGTGGATTTATTATCCGTAGTTTATTTTATTGGGGAAGGGATTTATGCTGATACTAACGTCGTAGCACAAGTCTATGAAGGCATTGACGACGGGACTGTGCCATGTTAATAGGTGTAGGATACTTGGTTAGGGTCCGTGAGGCGATAAAGACCGCTGATTAAAGACTCGAAAATTGTTTGCTATGCCGTAGATGCATCCATTCTTTGCCTTCTTTGAAATTCGAATCTTCTGAATTCCTCATGACCTTCATTCTGTTTTTTGATTGATTCTACTGGATGATACTTGTTGAATAATTTCTTCGAACCTTAATCTTTTCTATTACAGCTAATATTTCTACTACCCTTATTACTATGGGATTTGAATTGATCGTTCGACTGCTTTACTAATGTGTTATGTTGAATTGAAGTCGTGTACGTATGTACGAAGTTCTACGTTGTAGCTGACTGAGTGTCTGAATAATGAAAAAAAACGGGTGATTACCTACGGATGTTGTCGTTTGTGTTATTGCTTTGTCTAAATAATCTGCATTCCAACACTTGTTGTATGAATTAACCAAATTTATGACAAATAGAGGACATAAGTAAAAGTTTTCATTTTTAAGATGCTCATCACATCATCAACAGATAACCCATACTACACTTGTCTGGTCCTTATGACATATGATAAAAAAAAGATATATATCAGCTCATTAATATCTAGTAGTATCTCATATATACATTTGAGTTTGTTCATATTTAATCTAGTTAAGCCATTTTTTTCACTTATTTAACAGACTGAGTCATTCGTATAGCAATAACTTATCTATATCATTGTGATTTTATTGTTGTCACGCTTGTATAAGCATTACTTACCCTCTACACACATATTCATTCTATTAACTTTAGTGATAGCATCGTAAATAATTCGATGACTCATTCATTTTCCTATGCATATATATATATATATATATATACATATATATATATACATTTTAATCCTACTCACTCGCTTTTCGGCGCTGGCATATCATTTTCGCTCCATGTGCATGTGGTCTGGTGATTTGTGTGTAGTTCGATAATAAACATAATCAGTGCTTTATATTCGTCTTCTAATTTATAAACCGTTGGGCGTTATCTAATAACGGTTGTCTGGATGAGCAGTATACGAACTCTAAGGAATTATATCGAACACCAGCCGCTGCAGAATTAGTGAGTCCACATCCACCACAAATGAAATCGTTAACGATTAACATTTATCGACTTACTTACCTACTTACGCCTGTTACTCCAAATGGAGTATAGGCCGCCGAACAGTTTCCTCCAACCAACTCTGTCCTGGGTTTACCTTTCCAGTTCTAGTTTTCGTTCATTCTTCTCATATCTTTCTCCATTTCTCGGCATATTGTGTTCCTTAGCCTTCCTCTTTTCCTTTGACCTTGAGGGTTCCATGCGAGGGCTTGTCTCGTGACGCAGTTCGGTGCTTTTCCAAGTGTTTCCTATCCACTTCTACCGCTTCTTCCTGATTTCCTTCTGATTTCCATTGGAATCTGGTTTATTCTCTCCCACAGTAAGTTGTCGCAGATAATGTCTAGCCAACGAATCCGAAGTATTTTGCGTAGACAACTGTTCATCAATACTTGTATCTTCTGGATGATGGCTTTCGTCGTTCTAGTTTATTTATATATTTATTTAAAATAGAATCTTCTTTTTAATTCTAGAATACTTCTTTTCAGAACATTGTAATATACGCTCATAGTAGAATGAAGAAAATTTAAGATTTTTGTCTAGAAAACTAATGTAAGATCATGATTGTATTTGCCAAATGCTTGATAATTAAAATGTTTTGACATCGACTTGAATATTCACCATTAGATTATATCAGTTATATTAAGAAGATTCGATATAAAAAACAGTGATAAAGGATAATCATGCTCGATGTCATGTACTGTTTTGGTAATTAGTTCAGTTACCTGATGTATAATTTTCCTGCCTAGTCTCTTTCATACAAGAGTAGTTAGATTCAATTCCAACTCAATAAAACAGATTAGAATATTTGAATGGTAGATTGACACCTTCATGTCTTTCAACAGTATAGTTGGCAGGTATGTTATTTTTTCTCATTGACGAGTAAAGCATTCCTCTGGGGTATACATTTCGAATGATATATTCGATCATTAATCTCTCCGATTACTGCTAATACTTTTACTACCTCTACTACTGTAGTGAAGGAGAACACAGGTGAGGGCAACCGAATTGTATTCAACGAAAATTACAGAGTTACTCAGTAAAATAGGAAAACCATATCGTAAATGGTTAATTTGCAAATCTTCAATCAATCATCAATCCATTGTCTGACATTTCACTATTCATGCGTTTCATACAAATTCCATTGTGTTCCCACTCTTCCTTTCTTGTTCTTCCCCCATCTTCTGCTGCCAGACATTACGTTTACACTCGCGTCATATACTACTTATAAGTAGCGCGCACCACACTACTATGGGATTTGAATTGACTATTTCGTCTCTGTGCTGATGTGCGTACTTAGGAAGTTCTACGCTGTAACTGACTGACTGACTGATTGATGAGTTACATATCAGTGAGTTTAATTTGGTAGATTTTATTTTTATATACGAGTGACTGATCTGAATTAACCATTTTTTTGCTTGCTTTATTTATCTGATTACTACTGTTTATCCGTAGAAAATTAAGCTTACAACTATATAGACAAGTTTAAAGGAATGGTGAATTATAAGTTATAGCTATATTAAGATAAAAATTCACAATCACTGAAGTGCTACTTTGACAATTTTCACTATATACCAAATTTTGTTAGGCTCATTCTTACGCGCTTATTGTTGAATAAAGATTTGATTGTGTTAATCACTGCATGTAACACATCAATGTACTATATAAATTGCTATTCATATTTTATATATCTATCATGGTTTTTATTAAAACACATTTTAAATTTTCAAAGCATTTTATTGATATTTTATTTTGTTTGATATTTTATGAATTATGTTGTAATATATATTTTTAGTTGAATATTTGAGCTACCTCTATCTCTTAACATTAAAGAATTTCAACAAGTTATCTCGTTTTGTTTGTTTTAACACGTCAATTATGTCTATTAATTACATCATCAATTTAGGCGCGTATATAGAAATGTTCCGATCTATCGCTTCACCAGATATAAAAAAGTACAATCTGAGACGTAATGGTGTTTGACAAATGCATTGAAAAAGAAACTCTTTGAAATATTCCTTTCTGAGAATACTATATTATACTGAATACATAATAATCAATATGTTCAAAAAAAGGGCTGTTGTTATACTCCGTGCATGAGAAAGAAAATGCCTCGCATACACAAGGAGTTACACTGATGCTGTCCAAACAAGTGAAAACTAATAGGAAAAAGGTTTACCTCATTAAAATACCAAAGAAAGGAGATCTCAGCAAGTGTGAGAACTACAGAGGCATCACTCTTCTTCCAATACCATGCAAAGTCTTGAACAGGGTGTTGTTAAACAGAATGAAGGACTTCGTGGACGCACAACTTTGAAATTAAGAGGTTGGATTTCGTAATGATCGATCATGTACCGACTACACTACAACATTACAGATCATTATGGAACAATCCATTGGATGGAACTCACCACTCTACATCAACCTCATTGACTTCGAGAAAGCGTTTGATAGTATGGACAGGATTACACTATGGAGGCTTCTTCCATAATATGGTGTACTTGAGGAGATGGTCAACATCATGCGGAATCCTTATTATGGAATAAACTGTAAGTTTTTACATGGAGGTTATCTGACAGACTCGTTCGAGATGATGACCAGTCTCAGGCAAGGTCTCAGTCTTTCTCTTTCTCATGGTGGTTGACTGGATTATGAAGAAGTCGACATCCGTGCGGAAGAAACAGAATGCAGTTCACAGCTCGGATGCAGATGATTTAGCCCTTCTATCTCACACAACAAATGCAGGTGAAGTCGGTTAGTGTGGCAGTGGCCCTTGCAGCAATGGGTCTCAACATCATCCGGA